CCTTTGACCAATTTCTTTTAACACGTTTGAACAGCGTCTTGAGCTGCCAGTCTTTCCTCAACCCCAACTGACCTGCAATTTCACAGACATCGTGGATTTAAAACAGTTGTAGCCAAAATACTGTTCCGAAGTAATCTGTGGTTAGTCAGCCCTGCAGGGAGAGCCTTGAAAGAGCTGTCGCTTGCCATCTGACAGCAGACAGAAGGGAGCAAGACTCTATTGCGCAGAGAGAGAGATCTCGTTGCACTGGAATGAGAGTGGAACAGGTCTATTTAGTTGAGACTGCCTCAGACGGACATCAGTAGGCAAGTCATTCATAAGGGCAAGCCAAGGTTTCTTTACAAAGGGAATAAGACCAGTTAAAAAAGTGCATTGTAAAGGCTGGTATGTACATGTAGTTTGGACATGCGTGTTTTTTAAGCCGACGGAAGCAGCAATAGACAGGAAAGGGCGAGAGCGTGTGTGCAAGCGCCAAAGTCGAAATTGAGGTATGCATAGGATACTCAAAGAAGTGATACAGATCGGAAACCAGAAGTCTTTATTAGGTGTAAGTATGAGGTCAGCTGACCAGTGGCTACCGTCGAATGTGCGAGGCGAATCGCGCTTACGAATAAGGAGGACACTTAATCAAGAACACATGTACAATCGCATCTTAGTTAAATTTGCAAACATACAATAATATCCTACAAAATGTTTCTTGGTCAGATGAAGAGAGATTTATAATATCATGCAGCGTTTAGGAGAAGGCGCTGACTAGGATAAAATCGTCCCTTGGCATTTTATGGGCCAATGAAATATGGATCGAAAATCTGAATATCGTTTTGTTTAGAAAAAGCTACTTAGGTAGTGTCGAAATATTGGTCTTGCGTGGGATAACCTCACGATATCCCAATCACATCAGGATTTCGGCTTTTAAATGAACAGTAAAAACCATACAGCTTAAAATAAAACTATTTAAATGGCATAAAAATTGTCGTTGCTTTTGGATGGTCCCATACATCCAAACATATGTTGTAAATAGCATAAACATAAATACCCTTTCGTGTACCAGCTTGGTGGCATAATATGTCGTCGGCAGAATATACCTTTAAATAAAGTATAAAGCCCTGTTTAAGCAATCCGTACTTGTGAATTTTTGAATACTGTGAAATGTCCATTGAAATTGCGTCATACATGCTTGCTTGTCTTTGTTGATTTGATGCAAACAACACGGCCCGTGTCCACTGCAAAATTTTATAATCCTATATGTTTACTTCTTAGCGCCGCACGGAAGTGTAAGAAGTTTCGTAATTGACAAGGATACAGTTTGTGGATTTTAAATGTCAAATGCCAGTTCAATGATAGACGGGGTCAAAAATTATGCGGAAATTCCAGACCACTTAAGACCAAAGATAGACATTCTTAAGTCTGCTCCATCTAACACTGCCTAGACTTCCAAATAAAATTGCATTCGAAAACTCATCAACACCCCTGGTACTGATATAAGCCCAAAGATCTAAATAAGTTTGACTCCCGTGTACGGCCTTCATTACCTACTCGCTCGAGATATAATTCGTTTCGAGACGCTTGTGGACCTTATATTTTAAAACCAGCCTGAATGTTCCTTCTTAAGACATGTCGCTATAGACATCGATATCAATCCACACATACGGCACGGTGATACCCACTCCTAGGTTATGAACAGAGCTGGTGTTGGCAATTATAGAATGGATGAAGACCGCTGTTATTTATGAGACTGAGAATGATGTACCTGTTGATTTAAGAACTTTAAGTGGCCATCGCTTACACACCCAAATTTACAATCAACTTCTAGTCTCGAGCTGCCGTTTGCGGCGAGACGAGGGTGTACATGTACGCTCCCCCCTAACACCCACCACCCTGGTCAGAAGAAGTAATTTCACACTGATACATATTAAACGGAGTTAACTGCTCGACACGTTGGATTTGCAAATTGGTCGGAATGTGTCGCGTGCTTGAAGCATTACACTGTGTCTGTTGTCTGTTGCATGCCTGCTTCCGAGACCGCATCCAGCGGACTGCACAGTAGTTATAACTCACAACTGATTACCTAGCCTGTCGAGAACTAGATTTCACTATATTTTAACTTGTCTCGTACTAAAAGAACTATCTGCAGAGAAAATAATCTAAAAGAGGAAATCGGTGCTGAAGACAACACCGGCGGTAAGTATGAAATTCGAGAAATGCGATCACAAAGCATGTTGGATGCACGGTCTCGTTGCTTGGGCGCAATCTACTTCGAATTTGCGCAAAAAGAGGAAGATGCATAGGGGGGGAGGAATAGGTTGAATATTCTCAACGTCCGAATCAAACTGGAAGCACAACTCTTTCGACACCCCTGTGCATGCTTGGGCCCTGATCACCTGACAGCAAGAAGGCCATGACAATCGAAATAAGGGGTGGGTAATCGCCTATTAAACGCAGTCGTCACTGAGCAGAGGTGTAAAATGCTAGCGGCAGACATGGCAGGCTGGTTTCCAATTTGCGCGAAGCAGAATAAAAGGAAAGTCATGAAATTTCGTATGATTTATTTACATTTGTTACACCGACAAAAGTGATGGAAAATATTCTAGAATAGTTTACAAGATATTGGCAGAAATTCCAAAAGCAACTCCAAAATTGAACCATGAGTGTCTGTTGCGAATGCGGTAGGTAGGTCGGCTACATGCCTGGGATTTGGAGAAACAGTTCCGTAGAATGCTGCCATGATCTGGGGCGGAATGTACATCTCTCGCCTACTGCGTCCAACAATGTAGTTCGCATGTAGCCCAAAGTGAACATTTCTCACGTGAAAATTCGCATGCCTGTGAATGCTTCCGTTAACCTACCATGCACGCACATTATTCGGAATTTAAAGGAGAAATGTGGACAGAATAAAACTGCAAAGCCTTTCTAAGTAACATCGAAAGTCATCGTAATTGCAGGAAATAAAAGTTTTATCATTGCTAACTGCATTAATTGCTCTATCAGGGCACTGAATTCAACAAATCGTCCTCAGGGATTTCAGTCTATATCATTGTCAAACTGAAAAGCTCTAAAGGTAAATTCGAACATGCTCGAAAGCATGCAAATTCGTGCAAAAAAACGAAGACCCATTTTCTATGCCGCCAGCAACTCAATCTGTTAAAATGCGCCATGGTCCGCTATTATCATTGGCTGCACCGTTCGTTAGCTTGATTAAGCTAGGCCGTGTGTTTGACTCATGTAGACGTGGCGTCCCACCGATTGAATTTTAGGAAGGAACATGGATTTTCAGCACTGCTTTGTGTATTCAAGTATAGAGACTTGGCGGGCTGACGCGGGAACAGACGGTTAGAAGTGACGGCACATTCATCCGCCGTAATGAGATAGCTGAGGATGTTACCTCTGGGTATTATTCAGTTCTATCGATCAGAACCCGTCTGTGCGTGGTCTTATGGCTTAATTGGTAAAGCGCACTTGACTTACATGCTGGGTAGCCAGGTGAAACAGCATTCAACCCCGAAATGCCTCTAACGGACATGCATCGGCGATGGTCATATGTGCATGTCGTGAGAAGTGTGCTCGCACATGGTATTATGAGACATGCTCATTCAATTTCGCCTTTCGTCCTAAAAATGACGGCTTGTCTACCATGAAGTTTTCTCATTGATTTTCGATGTCCTCATAAATTCATATACATATTTCAGAGAAAGCATGCATAAAAGTAATCATTTCTGTACTGATTTGGTGAAAATTGTCTTATTTTAATTTTAGGACTTGAAGGGTTTGTATAATTTGGATGTAAAAATTCTCCTTATTCCCGAAGCATTTTGCACCTGGATTTTCAAACCACATGCTGTATGTTTTCCATTTGCAGAAATTCATGCATTTAGAATATGCTAGTAAGAGGAGACCATATGTATGGTTCATAAAAATTGCAGTGAATTTGAGCTACATGGTACACTAAAAGTGACATTGATAAATGTAAGTACACGATGTGGTGTGGACGGGCCTTTCATGGTCTTAATAATCTCATAATTTAAAACTTTTCCAAAACCAAATTTTACCGCTACTTCAAGCATAAAAATTGAACTAGACATAATTTTCTACAAAATGATTGAAAAATGAAATATTTCTGTACATTTTTCCTACGAAATGCATTTGAATTTGTAAGTGCACCGGAAATCAATGACAACAATTAATGCTATTTTAGTAGTCCTTTTTTATTTAGGTTAGTTTTTGCTGGAGACCGCAAAGAATATCGATCAATAGGTGGCATCTTTTAGCAACATGATTACTTTTGGTATCATACCACAAGGTGATTAATATTACAACCCTTCTTAAAAAATCTTTTCGAGACGGAAATGCGCTCCGGAATTTGGTCAACATTTTATGAGTTCGCACATCGTATGTGCAGGTCATGAGGAGTGCGCTCACCATCCGCCTTTGGTGCTCAATCTACAGTAACCGCAGGAAATCGCATAGTGGCCGGAAATATGTATACTGAAGGAAGTGACAATAAAAATAAAGGGGCTAGGATTGCACCTGCCCTCTAGTTTAGTACGGTGAATCGGCAAGATTCAAATCTCGATTTGGATAGCCTAGAATTCGTGCGCGGGATGTTCGGATTTGGAGAGCTATGTAGTACAGCGCTCTGCCATTGAGCCACAGGCTCGTCGTTCTGCCCTTCCCACTGTCCGTAATGTTTCCGATCGCAACTCTCAGGGTAAGGAACGCCTGGCTCCATGGTTAAGCGTTGTACTACTTAGCTTCCTCTAAGGAAACAACCCGAGTTCGAATCCCAGATTTCGTTCACATTAGGGGTTAGATGTGACTGGACGACGATGGTTGATAGGCCGGAAATTTCCCTCCCATTCTCACCATTTTCTGTCCATACTCCTCTCTGAATATTTATCTCTTTATATACATATATATTTTTACAAATAAATCGGCATCTGGCATTAGGGACTGCTGTTATCTTTGCGGTACTAGCCTACCATGCCAGCCTGTTGTCGCATTAATTAGAAATTAGTATTGTTACTCACAGTGAAATCAATTCCGATGCGCAGCAAATTAACGACAATGGTGCATGCATAATGGGGGTTCTCGTCCGCTGCCTCGCGAGTAAGTAGCGAACAGGATGAATTGAGGGAAAATTGGAAGTCATCGATGGTAAGGTTGAAGACATCGTCATGTAAGATGCTGATGCTCCGTCGTATGCCGCGCACATTTTCGAGCATTGAAATCACATTGTAAAGAGGATGTAGGAAAATAAAATCACAGTAGGGATCAACTAAAATGGAAGCAAATGTGTTTCAGCTAATTTAAACGTCGCTTGTATAAATAAAAATTAAGACAATGTGATGAGATTTTGTTTAAGTGATTCTGTAACCCGAACAAGAGTGAGTAAATTCACTCGCTTATTTCATTATGGCCTAATGCCGTCTGCTTCATGAGTGTATGTCAAGTTCGCAGTGATTGGTCCAATTTTGACGTACCAGGGGTTGAGCATTTGTACGGTCTTCGAATTTTCAATAGACCGTTTACCCGGCAGCCAAGATCGGAAGACGAATTTCAGATGTTTCCTTAAGTCTCAATTTTATACGAACGTTTCTATGGAACAAGTGCTTTATTAGCCCGACGTTTTGGATTCTCACTCGAATCCATCATATTAGACAGAGTGGCTAATTGCCCAGGTGTCGCGACTACATCCTGGAACTCGTCTCATAGCTTCTATTATCAAATGGGCAGTGGGAGTTTCGCAAAAACGATCATTTTGCATTACGATGTATGGGCCTTCGTGTACCTCAGAGTCCCGACCTGACACCCTAGTAGACGATAATCTGCCCTCATTAATGCCAGCGGAATTACGAATAGCCTAATCGTCGTCAAATGCTAGTTTCGTAACGCATGGTGTTTGGGGGTCTGCGATGTTGGCCGGAATTCAGTCTTCTTACAACTTTAGGTGTGTGGCCGTCTGAGAATGGTCGTACGCATAATAGAAACTGTCATCATAGCGTTAAGGTCATTTATTTCTGTGTATTGCGCATTGTGTGTTATCTGGATAATCGTTGATAAATGCGAGACCCTTTCCGCCAATATTTCAATAATTCACTTCGGAAGCTCTCAGACAACCAGCATGATTTCGACTTTGACAGCACTTCTGTATTACTGAAGAGGATATGTCGCATGAACTGGATCGATTTTAACGAAGACGGTACGGAAGACAGTTAAATCAAATTAGTTTTGCATCAGTATGTGGCACGAAAAGTAAATAAATTCAATTGCAGATAACTTTAAAATAATACGCCACTGTATGCTCTGATGCTTAGTAATCTTAATCATGTCGTCTCAAATGAAATCTCTGTCTATACATAGGAGCCACAATCATCCGGAAGAAGTAGAGCGAGTCTCAAACTTACTTCTGCAGTTTAATCCACATATAAAAAACATTATCAGGGTAATCGAAACTTGTTTCATGTTTGTTACACCTCAAAAGCTAGTCACACCCTTCACAAACACCTATTTATTCAATGCAAGATCCAATCATGTCCATTAACCGCCATTACAACCTTATTGGACGCCCAAAGCAAGATTTGCCCAAATGCAATACGAAAGTTGCTGACACACGCTGCGTTTTTTTATTGGACGCCTGTCTGTACGATTATCGACTTCGCCTACCTATCTTTAGAGACTGGAGGGTCTTGTGCACACCTCTCATTATATGGCTCAGTTTGATTGGTGTGAAGACGGCCAATCCCGACTGTGGTGCCGCATCGAACCGGATTTTCACCGTGACCACTCTCGCCCTCGCCCTACTCGATTATTGAGATAATTGGCGCTCCGACTGTTTCGCGCCCTGACTGACTCTTGGCAAGAACGTTTGTGTAACCAGATAGCGGCCAGCTAATTTAAATTAGCCGTTGGCTGATTAGTCGATAGACGTTCAATTCAGTTAATAGTCGATACCAAATCAGTTCTTCTGCTTGCCGACAAATGCCTATCGACCGTTGTCCTCAATGAGGCGAGCCACCGAAAACAAAGTCATGATGTCCGTTAGCGGTCGAGGTTCCTTCAAAGTCAGCGACGCCGCCAGTCTATAGTCATTCTTTGCAAATGTAAACAGAATTTTGGCTCGGCTAAAGAAATATATGTTTATCACCACTGAAGACTGGCCTTGCCATCAGGCTGAGCGGCTACTTGGACGTGTTTATAAACTGCCTTAGAGTCCTCCTTTTCGTAGCGTATGTCCTTCAGAGTAAACAAGACTTGACAAACGTTATCCAAGTTAGATAGTGTGTCTTGATAGAGGAGTGATTCAGGAAATGTTAAGACGCCCGGCTTTTGCTGCACCAGGAGGCATATTAATTTCGTGTAATACAGACAGCGATGGTGTTACGAAGTCATAACTGCTTAGGTCGCCTTCTTGCACAATTCCCCAACTCACCAGGAAACGCGCCAGAATCGTCCAAATCAGACGCTTCAAACCGTTTGACAAGGGAGGAGTTCGACTAAGCTGAAAATTAAAAGAGCGTTTTGTGGCCTGAATTGCATATTTCTTAATGTATCTTTTACGTGAACGGACGAGGCGATCTGGCAGTGCAGGGCACAAATACTTTCGCAGAGCTCATGACATATATGCTCCTACGGAGCGGGTGCGTTCATGGACAAAGTCAAAATTCCCGTTGGAATGGCCGTCCTTCAGATTCGGTGTGTAAATTCAAAATGCCGGAGCAATTTAGAGATCGGTGAAATCTATCTCAGTTTCGAACAAACGCTGGCTTTACTCACAAAAACATCCATATTTTGTTTGCTTCGGTTTGTTCTTTGTGCCTGAGGGGGACGAGTACAGCCGAACCCTGCTGAGTCACTCGTAGTGTGATTTGGAGAGCCCTTCCCTCAGGCCCACAGTTTTTACGTTAAGTCAGGACAAAGGATGACAATCACAGTAATGGCGTTCGTCGCCCGACGGCCACGGATGCATGTCTTTTTGCCGGCATTCCGTCAGTAAGGTCAAAACACCTTGTTAAAATCCTCGGCCAGACACCCTCGATGTGCTCACCTATATTATTAATTGTTTGCCATTTGTCTACTGTTGGCATTAGAGTAGGTATGTTTTTTAGTTTGAGTACATTCAATGTGCTACTTCTGATGAATATTTTCCCGGGTGCGAAATGAAAACCGGCATGTACAGCAGGATTCATTAGGGCCAGTAAATTTCGTGACGGCTTTTCAACTGCAGCCCCTCTCTGCATACCATAGCTAACGAATGGAAGCGCACGGCAGTACGAATTTGTACAGAATGTCAGTGCATTGGCCAATAAACACCTAGCTGCCCCATCCGCATTGAAACGTCATGAACAAAGAATAATTTCTAAGCCTGACAGAGGCCATGGAGTGATTATTCTTACCAGGAAGGACTGTGTGAGGAAAATGAAGTGCATATTAATGGATCAGAGCAAATTTCCTTTGGAAGCGTCTGGAAATGTTAAACCATGACATTGGAGGACTTAGTCAGGGAAAAGGTTCAATAGTTGCTGGGCAAGAACCTGATTGATACTAAAACCGCACTGTTCCTAAAACCGAGAGGCACACAGATGGCTCACCAAAAACGCATAAAAAGGTACACCTTTGCGGCCAATTCTCTCTATGTCTAATTCACTTACATGCAGACTGGCAAAATGGCTTGTCAAGGAGCAAGAACCAATTCGACAATTGATTTCCACCTAAACGATAAAAGACAGTCTTCATTTCATTGAATAAAATGAAGCACCAGAACATTGCTGACAAGGGCATTATTTCTTTAGATGTCGAATCATTATTTATTGATGACACAATAAATGTTATATGCGCTCATGCGTCCAAAACCGGCTTGTCCCGGGAAATGCTACCTGATCTGCTGGTACTTGGCACCTAAGATGTTTTACTGCTGTTTAAAAAGGAAATTAACAGACTAATTGCCGGAGTGACAAGGGGTAATCCATTCGAGCTAACCTTCGCCGACGTTACCTTGTTGTTGACAACAAGGAAAACGCCGCCGACCTTCTTTGCGCGATGAATACTTTTCATCCAAAAATCAAATTTACGATGGAAACGGAACAGTGTAACAAGTAACCCCTCCTAGACGTCCTCATGTTTAGAGAGAATGATGGTTGAATAAGACGCTCCGTATTCCACAAGATTTCCTGGAAGGGACAATACTTACATTTTAAAAGCTTTGTGGCAATACAATGGAAACGAAATCTATTACATAGAGCGGGAAATATTTGCTCCAGGGAAACAATAGATACCGAAACTGCCCTCAACAAAGAAGCCTTACTTATTCGTGATTATCCTTTCATTCAGAAGTACAGCAACCATTTACGACCAAAGTTGAAGGGACAGTCTGTTCCAAAGAAGCCCGTTATAATATGCTTACATTGTTATGGTGACGACGTCTCAAACACAATCAAGCGACGCTTGTGTTGCAGCATAGAAAGAACGTACAACGCAGCAGAACTCGTCTTCACCACTTCCAACTAAGGCCTTCCTATCAACCAAACGAAGTATGCCTTGCCAATGCACGCCACCCTACACTGCGTGTATGGATTCACATGCATTTGCGGATGCAAGTACATTGGGCGAATGCGAAGGCAATTTGCAACCAGGACTGCTGAGCATTTGTCTAATTGGCTTTTCAAATTGAGATGTGAATCACATAGCGTTTGCAGATCAGAAT